ACATACAGATATCCACATTTCTCATATTCTGTGACATTGTTAACTACCTAATTTCCAAAACCCCTTCTTGAGTTATCCTCTAAAATTTCAGCAAAAACTCCATCTGCATTCCAGAACAGGCTGCTACGTAAGAGGCTGAAACGAACATGTATAGAATAATAGAAACGCCTCCCCCCCACACACACGTACCTGACGCTAATGCTAATTAATAATAATAGAACAAAGTATAAGAAAACGATGACAGTTACAATTTATTGGTTGGTTGACAATGTTATCTGAACTCAATCTTTAGTTTTATGACCCCCCCCCGACAAAAAAAAACCCCGACACGTACTTCAAATATTTTTGACCTCACATGTGCACAAAATATGCAGAGAAAAGAACGGTTCGGTACGATTTTTCCTACACAAACTACTTCAGTAGGATACAATTTTTAACTTAAAACCGCTACAATTGTAAATAGATTCACCAAAAAGGAGAAATCTTAACTAGTCTGTTGATGTCTCACAACACTAACTCTCAGGCCGCCGCCATCTTTGTCACCTTTGACCTTATTGAGGGACAATTCTTTGTAAAAGGGGAGGGGTGTAAGTTTTCCACACAGTAAAAGTTGCAGTGTAAAACACAGCAAAAGTTGCAGTGTAAAACACCAAAAGTTGCAGTGTAAAACACAGCAAAAGTTGCAGTGTAAAACACAGCAAAAGTTGCAGTGTAAAACACCAAAAGTTGCAGTGTTAAACACCAAAAGTTGCAGTGTAAAACACCAAAAGTTGCGGTGTAAAACACCAAAAGTTGCGGTATAAAATTTTGTACTTGTCGGCCACGGTAGAAACGGTTCAAAGAGATCTAAACATAAATATAGTCTTGATTCTTGAATGTCTTCTTTTTCTCATCAATTTGTCGCGAACGGCCAAAATCCTCAGTTTTGATTGAGAGGGTCCGCTGGCGATTGCCATGAGTGAGTCGGGGCGAGGGTACGAGTAAAAGACCAAGTTAACAGTCTGGCTAGGATGGGGAGGGGAGGCCTACTTGTATCCAACGTAATGCATCTTCCCATGTTCCGTAAATAATTTTGGACCTATTAAAAGGTTAACGTTGGTGAATGATGGAATATCAAATTAGTTATTTACTCACAACCACTTGTTGACCAGAGCCAACGTTTCGATGACTTCATCCGGCAGACTCTGTGAATTGCAGCTAGGTGTTACTGGTTCACTGTGCAGTGTGCACTGAAGCTTACTTTACTGTACCCCGGATGCCAAAACTAGTATCGGGCCGTTTATAGCCGTTTTCCTTCGGCAGCCAACAGCCCTTCGCCCGCCAGTGAACCAACCAGTATCGCCCCGATAAAGATGACAGACGTTCATCGAAACGTGGGCTGTTGTACTGTATGTAAATCATCTTTAATACGAATATGTTTGTTTTCTTCCTCCACAGTGACCGTGAACTTCCTGAGTGGTGAGGAGCAGACGTCTCTCCACCTGGGGAAGACTCCCATCGCCGATAACAAGTGGCACTCCATCCTGGTGCGCGTGGCCGGCGTGCTGCACGACACCAACACCGTGGAGCTGTACGTGGACTGTGCGCTGGACGACAAGGTAGGGTTTGTTTGACCCACCCCTTCCTTATTCACGAGAAGTTCAAATCTTTTACCTACCTACCTAGTCCCATGGGGGGGAGGGGGGCGCAAGGCAGACCTTGCAGCAGAGTTGTTGCCAGATTTTCCTTTCTTGGGCTGCTGTCAGGAGTTGTGGGATGGTGAGGGACGTCCAGTCCTTGATGTTGTCCTGACAGACTTTCTTCTGTCGGCCTCGCCGTCGTTTCCATTCCAACGATGGCCTTATAAGCCACTTTTTACTGTTCCACATTGCAACCAATGGGTCCACAGTAGTCAATGGATCTTCTGAAACTCTCTTGCTGGGGTTTTGGTGACAGCCAGTTGATTGCTTGTGCTTGTCCATGAAAGTATCTGGATATTTCTTAAACCTGAGTGTACAGGAGTCCTGTGTGTCGTCCTGTTCAGCTAGCAGAGAGAGGGAGAGAATTTGTCCTTACGTTGTACATGACTGTGATGTTGTGGATCACTATACAGGTGAGGACGAACGCACCTGTGCTGGAGTCCCTTGGCGCCAGCTACCTGGAGACCGTCGCTGAGCTGAGAGTGGCACAGAGGGGACCTGGCAAGGGGCAGCTCAAGTTCAAGGTTGGTGGAAAAACAATCCTACACTGATCAGACCTATTTGTCGTAACTTTTAATAGGATATCACTTGTGTCTTCTAG